TTTTGATTTCACATTACACCTAATTTTATGATCTGCAGGGATGCGGCAACATCGCGAGGCGCAGTGTATAAATTATCTCTTTATTTTAATAATTAATGATAGGTTATTTGTGAAATTATTATGAAGCTTTGACTTTAAAAGCTTTTAACTCTAAACTGATATATTAAGCTCATAAACATTTCTAACTTCAATAAGCTTCTTTTCATTCTTTTTGAATCTAGTTCCTTTTTATCAACATGGTACATTTTATAACAATTCTATCATCTCAGCAGATTTTTAAAAATAAATAAATGCCTTGAACTTCATTCTTTATTAAGTTAACATTTTGCTTTATCTCTACTGTCTCTACACTAATTTTTAAGTACTTTTTTTGTTTTTGTGCTTAGGTTATATAAAATTAGTTAACAGTTCTTATAACTAGCCACATCAGTTTTGCAAATTTTTGAGCAAAAAATTTTTATTATGAAAATTTTCAAAAGTTTTTTAAAAAGTTTGTACAGTACGGTTATATTTTTTTAAATAAAAGAATATAAAAAAAAAATGTTAAGAGCCGCCCAGACAGTTCTTTAAAATTCATATAATATATAAATTTTATTAGCAAACAATTACTAAAGCCAAACCCATAGTATACTAATCTAAGTCTCTATGAACCTCACTCTCGCAAGGCAAAGTTTAAGATAATTCTAACCTGCTATTGATCAGGTACTTTCTATATTTAAACTTTAAATAGTATGAACTTTAATTATGTATAATATTACACAACTGTGACTAGTGACCAACTAATACCTGGGTATCGATTTAATAGACATCTATTATTATTATTTTCTTTTTTTTGCAGTGTAAAGAAAACTTATCATTATACTAGTAATTAATATATTTGAGATCTGAGGTAGATCGATTTACATTTCCGGAGTAATTTTTAGATTATAATTTTTGCGTGCAAAAAATTTAAAATCATAATATTTTAAAATTTTATTATGTTAATCAACTTTCATTATTAATTAAAAAATGTTCAGTATATTAACTTCTATTACTTTATTAAAAAACCTTAATTTTGAAAAATTTTCAATTTGCTTGATTTCTACTGATTCAACCCTATATGTAAAATTTGATTGGCTGTCAAACCAGTCAGGTGGGGGAGAGGGGGGTAGGCTCTATAGTAAATGGAAATCAAGTGATTTCTGGTGCCCTCCTAACTTTCCAACAAGTTGGTTTGTTTTTTTTTTAGTGAAAAATTTGGTACAGGTGATTGATAAAAAGAGTTAAATAAATCTAAAAAAAAAAAAAAATTAATTTTTTTGCAAAATTGTATACATAGATGTCTATATATTACAGTATTTATTTTCTCTATGCCTAAAATTTTGCTTTTTAGATATATCAAAGTTTTAAATAAAACTTTTAAATCTCAAGAGTTGGGTTATATCATTGAACAGTATTATTTAACTGATCTATATACTCTAACAATAACTCTGGCCACTATACTGTTCATATTCATGTAATATAAATTATAATGACACAATTACAGTTTTATTTAAATTCAGTATATATTTATTGTATAACAATAAGGTTTTTCTTGTTTGAGTTTAGTGCTTACTTTCTTTCTTCAATAGGTGAATCATAATAATTTTGTGGGAAAAGAAGAAATTATTATATCTAATTACTTTAAAGATAAATTTTTATATTTTTTGAAGCAAATTTGCTTTTCAATATTGATATTTAAAACTAATCAACTTTTTATTATCAGGGTTTTTTTTTTACACTTTCAATACAATGAACTTATCAAAATATTTTAATACACTGAATTTTTTTGATTCTTGAATTATGAAAAAAAATTTTTTAAAAAATATTTTATAATAATATTTATATAATTATTACTGTAAAAAGAGATGTAGTGACTTAGTGTAGTGGTCTAATCATTACCCTCTCTAAGTAGCAGGTCTAGAGTTCAAATCTCATAGACAACAATATTTGAAAAATAGATTTGTATTCTGGTTGATGGCTATGTTTATTGGTCAGATCTAGAACTAAATCTGTAACTTTAATCACACCATCTAGTAATGGGAACTTTGGTACAATAAATCTAAGGAACTGGCATAACCAAAAACCTATTTGAGAAGTTCTGAGCTTGGAGGTAATAGTGATCTTCAACAGTATTACAAGAGGGCTGAATTTGAACCAGGGCCTGAGATCGAAGAGCCGAGCAACCAGGTCTTTAAGTAAAAGGACATATAGCCAAACTGCTGGGCTAACATACTGAAGAAAAAAGGTATATATTCTGAAAGTATGAACCAAGAGAAAGGTGTTTTTCAGGCATCTAAAGCCTGGGCAAATCAATCTTTCTGGGTTGCTAGCTGGAAGTAAGGGAGGGACCGATAAAGAATCTAGGTAAAAAAATAGTTCTAAATATAGGTATTGGGGTTGTTGTAAACTGAATAAGGAAAATAAATACATAATAGAAAACTAATTAGAAAAGTTGTGGCTTGAAATATGGATCAGATTATAGCAGCACTCTAAAAAGTAATTTAAGATACGAACTTGGTAATAGTAGTACAATAAATACCAACTAGAAAGATATTATAGAACATGCAGGTGAATACATGTGTAAGACATGTACTACTCTGTTGGGTTTACTTTTGAGAAAGTAAAATAATCTAAGTTGGCTGATTATGTAGTGGTATAGCAAAACCTATGTTTGAATAGTGAGTTACACCCATGTTAAGATGAGTAATATGTTAAGACCAGAAGGTTTAAATGAGTACTCCTGTAGTTGGGTTATAGGTAGAGCAGATATTGTAGAACCCTTAGCATAGCACAACCACTTTGGGCAAACTACTTAAATTAGGCACCAAAAGTGCATATGTGGCTTGATGTACTTTTGTTACAATGGATAGTATCTGAACTCGACTTAATAAAATTCACTGACCAAGAAGGTTTCCTTTTAATTAAAAAAATAATAATAATTATTGCTGTAAGTTACTACAATCTTTTTTCAAAATAAAAGTATAGATAAAAATATACACATAATATAATATATATATATATAATAAAAAAAAGCAAAAAAAAATAATATTATAATACATTATTATAATCTTCTTTATTATTTAACAGTGTAAAGAAATCACTAATATATATTTGGTGCTTAGATTTTCTATATTTTCAGTTTAATAAAGCTAAGTATTTTTAAAAAATTTTAAGGTTCTTAGCTTTGAAATCCATATTAATTTGTTGTTCAAAAAAGATAATAAATTTATTTAAATCTATTAGCCCTTCTGAAATAGAAATTTCAGGTTGTTCTTCATCTGAGTTATTAAGATCTCCATTTTCATGCTAGTTTTTTTTATCTAAAACAATTTCAATAATTTTTGAATCTTCAAGCTTTTCCTTGGTTATTATTAAGATCTAAATATTTATTTAATTGGCTTTTAATTTTTGGATCTAGATTTTGAGAAGTCAAGTCTATTACCAAATCATCAATATTTTCTTCTTGCTATTCTAATAATATATTTTGATTATAGGTAGTAGCTTTTATTTCTTTATGAGAAAATAATGATAAAATTCTGGTTTTTTTCTAACAATTGAGAATTGTTTGATTTTCAATAGCATCTTAAGACTCAGATACATGTATATAGTATTCTTAATATTTAACTTTTTTCTAAATAAAATCAAAATATAATTAGTATTAAAATACTTACTATTAAAAAATTAAAAAGACAAATATCAATAAAAACAAACAGATTAATATTTTAAAAAAAAATTAATTCTTTAACTAATTTTAAAGCTATTTTTATAATTCAATAGTCAACTATTAAATTACAAAAATAGCTTAGAAATTTATCAAGATTAGTGATGCTACCAAAATTGATTTTTAAAAAAGGTCTATTTCATCTTTATTAGAGCAAATTAAAATTTTTTATAAGAAAGAGCAAATAAAATTTATATATTTATACTTCTTATAATTTTATTTATTCAAAAAAAGTATTAAAAAATTTCATCCTTTAAATAAAATAGATCAAAAACAATTTCATCTTCAAATTTTAATTTTGGGTTTTTGAACCTGAAATAATTTCATCAGTATGTATAATCAAGATATAGGCTGTATAAGTTAAGATACTGATTTTTTTAAAAAATATTAATCTGCTGAATTATATTAATAGTAGCCCAAAGTGTAAGTTTTTAAATCTTTATTGTTTTCAAGTTGTACTAGAATGTGACAAACAGGTGTGGTGATGTAGCGAAGTGGTGGAGTTGTCGCACCCCCAAGTTTGTTGCTATAGTACTGAGTTTGAATCCTACTGGTGATGTTTCGAATAATTTACTTGTGTCATGGTAACAGCTTATTCTAAATTGAGCTGGGTTTTATACCTGTAAACTAAGGCATACCAATGCCCTGAGTTGGTGCTAGGAGACATGGAAGCATTTGTGTTATTGCACAAAGAAATGCAAACCAGTATAGACAGTGCAAATCCATGATAAGCCTTTTAGAATCGATATATATTAAAGACCTACACATAGTAGCCTGAGAGAACCGAAACTGGCTTGGCAAATCCCGATTAAGGAAGTAGCAGACTGTTCTAATTAGGTGTTACCTGTTACTACAGGACTATACATACTGCTGAAATTATTTTAGGTTTTGGGACCCAAAATTAAAAATTCTTTCCGAAATTGTTTTTGATCTATTTTACTTAAAACCCAAAATTTTTTAATACTTTTTTTAAATAGACCAAAATATAAGGAATATAAATATATAAATTTTATTTGCTCTTTTTTATAAAAAATTTTATTTTATTTTTAAAAACCCGAAATAGGCTTTTTTTAAAAATTAATTTTGGTGGCATCACTATACAGGACAGATCTGACTGGACCCCAAAAATTGGAGAAATTGTATGACAAAGATCTTATGGGCAAGAGGAATCTATTAACTAGGCCACCAGATCATTCGGAGGAAAGGTTACATGTTATGAAATTGTGAACCAAGGATCGAGAAACCTTCAGATCTGAGCCTGAGAAACTTGGGTCTGAGCAGACCAATCCTTCTAGGCCATCTGAATTGGAAGAACGACAATACCAAAAGAAGTAAGGTGTAGAAAGTGATAGAATGTAGTATATGAATTTGTGAACCTTAAAAGGATAGAAGTAGGTAATGGTAGAGGTTTAATGATTACACCTTGACCCCAAGTATATAAATTAAGGCATAAGTTACTAAAGTCTAGATGAATATATATATGGGAATATACCACTCTGGCAGGTTTACCTTGAGGATAAATCAGGACATACGGTCCTGTTCTAAGTTTGGCTATTAATCTAGTGGTGTCGAATAACTCCATAATGCCCTGGTAAACACATAGTGAGATTATATTTGGGTTTTAAGCCCCACACGGTGAAAGTAAGAATATGATCAGAGGGTTTAAATGGGTACCCCCTAGTTGGGGTAAAGGTACAGCAGATAGTGTAGAACCTTTGGGCAGACTACTTAAATTAGACACTTAAAAGATACACATATGGCTATATATACTCTTATTATATACCGAAATAAAACTTAATGAGAATAAATCGCCATTGACAAAGAGGTCACCTTAATACCGAAAAAAAAAAAAATGTGACAAATATATTTTTGTTTATATTTGGATTTAAAACTTTTGATAATACTTGCATCTATAGGCTGCAAATGTGCTGTAGTATTTGGGGTAAAAATTCAAGTTTAGTATTAATTAATTATATATTTTAATAATTAGAAATAATACATAGTTGACTATAATCACTACTATTGCAATCCTTACTCCTGCTAGTACTATGTTTATCACATTTATTACATTTACTACAACTACTACCACTATTATTTGTATTCTAATTGGTTCAGATAAATCTTGGTTAATATTAACTTTAACAATTCCCACATGAAATAGTTGTTATTTCAAGTTCTGAATCATTAAATATTTCTTTATCTATATTAGAAATTGATTCATTTGATTCATATGTTTTATAAGTATTAGATTGGTTATAGTATAATAATATAATAAAAGGTGTGACGATATAGCAAAGTGGTGGAGTTGTCGCACCCCAAGTCAGTTTGGCTATAGTACTAAGTTCGATTCCTACTGGCAATGTTTCAAATAATTTACTTGTATTATAGTAATAGCTTATTTAAAATTGGGCTAGATTTATATCATTTATAAACCAGAGTACATCAATATTTTGAGTGTGTTTGGAAGACATGAAAGAATTTGTATTGTTGCACTAGTTCAACATTAAAGTTTCGGCAACCTATCTGCTAGCCGATAGATTACCGAAATTCAATATAATTTATCCAATATGCACCATACTAATAGCTCACCAATACTTGGTGTGTATCTGTTACCTAGCAGCCTAGCACATACAGTATCAGACAACTTCTACTAGCTTTCGGTAACCTATATATTGATAGGTTTCGGTTGTCTATTATAAGATTTCAGCAAACTTTCTACTAAGTTTCAGTTACCTATATATAAAATTTCGGCAAATACCAGCTAGCAAATATGTATTTTGGCAAATGCTAGCTAGCAAATATATATTTTAACAATAATATATTACATATATTATAGTACAATATTAATTACTTTAAAAATTAATTATATATCTTTATTTATTCATAATCAATCAATCAAAATCAATCACATATATTTATTTATTATTAATTTTTTAACAATTATATAAAATGTATACTATAAACAATAATACTATCTAATTATAACAAACATTTCTAAACAATACACAAAACAACCACAATACACATAATTGGAACATCTTTATTGACATCGATCAGCCAACCTGAACTTTATCAAAATGATGATAGCATTATCTAAAAGATAATTAATGACTTCAAAAAGCGAGAAAAACACTTATAAAAACAAAAAAAAAAACCGTAAAAAAGGATACAAATAATAACAGCAATAACAGCAAAGTTCCAAAAACATACTACTAACGATTACAATGACAAGACCACCAATGATTACGATAATGAGACCACTAATGATTATGGCAAAAAGACCACCAATTATTACAACGACAAGACTACCAACGATCACGACAACAAGAGACAATCTACTGCCACTTAGAAAAAATGAAAGAAGCTATTATTTAGATGCTAAAACAAATAACTAAAAAAAAAAGAATATAACAAAACAAAAGATAGTAATAATAGCGAAGCTCAACAAACTGCAACATCAACGAAACTACGATAACAAGATAATCTGCTACTTGTAGTAAAGAAAAAAGCAAACACTAAAACAAAGCAAGAATAAAATCAAGAAAAAAGATACAAGAAAAGGATACAACAAAGCACCTACAAAGTCATCTTAAGTGGCACTAGCAACGAAGTATATCTAGAATTATACAAAAAAATATTAAAAAATAAAAACCCAAAACAAATATAACTAATGATGACAAATCATCTCATACTTACACTAGTAGCTCCAATGATAACCTTAGTGATGACAACAACTCTAATATTGATTCCAACAACGATTCTAACAACGACTCCAACGACAACTTCAACGATGACTCCAACTATGAACTTATAATAGAGAAATAAATAAATAAATAATAAATAAAAAATAAAATAAAAAATAAAGCAAGACAATAAAAAAAAAAAAGTTGGCCAAGATTAAAAAAAAAATTTAGCTAACTAAATAATACTGTAATATATAGATTTCAGATCATATAATTTGATTATCTAATCATTATCATTATTACAGTGCTCAACAAAAGTATTTTCGCACCTATATCTCTTCATAGAGAGGTGCTATGACCTTGAAACATTTTGAAAAGTTAGTACAAACATAGATTAGATCGTGTGTATTTTTTTTAAGATTTTTTAATCACTAGAAAAAATTTTAGATGAGTGCTAAAATTGGAATGATTTTTTTTAAAAAAATGAAAAAATTAATTGAATTTAAAGAAAAATTAATATAGTATTAGGGCTTAAAGCTAAAAGTTCTAAAAATTAGTATATTAAAACTCTATGATTTCCATACTAGTGATAAAAAATTTGGTTCGATTTGATGAAATAATTGTTAAGAAATTAATTTATAAAATTTGAGCTTTATTTTTAAAAATTACAAAGAAAAAGCTTTTTCAATTGAAATTATCTTGATATCTAGTAATCCAAATTTAGTGATTTTAGTGACATCCAAATTGTCTTGACGAGACAATTTGAATAATATCAAAATCATTAAATTTTGACTGTTGAAACACGAGATATTCGTGAAAAACGTTTTGCAATACAAAAAGAATCAAACATAAACAAATCAAACATAGTAAAAATAAATCTCAAAACTTTAAAAATTAATTTCTCGATAATTATCTCATTGAATCGAGTCAAATTTTTTGTCACTACTACAGAAATCATTGAAATTTAATATATTAAAAATTTGGAGTTTTAGCTTTAAGTCTTGACAATATATTACTTTTCTTTGAATTCAATTAATTTTTTATTTTTTTTTGGACGAAAAAACGTCCCAACTTTAGTTCTCATCTAAAAATTTTTCTAGCAATTAAAAAATCGTCAAAAAAAACACACGACCTAATCAATATATGTATTAAGTTTTCTGAAAGTTTCAAGGCCGTAGCATCTCTCTATAAAGAGATATAGGTGCGGAAATACTTTTGTCGAGCATTGTATTATAAACTTTAAATTTATTTTCTAATATTAATGATTAATAATAATTTTCTTAATAATATATGTAATATATAATTATTATAAAATGCACCTATAGTGTTTAGCACTATAAATAATTCTTTTTTAATAAAATTTAGGGTTAGGTGCATTTTTATGAACTATTTTTTTTATATATATTATAATATATATTAGATATAAGATCTCATTTTTAAGTTTTGTAAGGTTTTTGAAAGTCCTGAACATTTTTACTTAGAATACCCAATTCTATTTACTTAGTATGTTTTCAATATCTTCGTCATCATATAATTGACAATCCCAAAGTATCTTTTTGAGAAATAGGGACCTATGGTGTTGAACACCATAGGTGCATTTTAGTAAACTTGGTAATATATATATATATTTAATTGATGATTCTCCAGTCAACTAATGCATGATCTTAGTAAAAAGTGATTCAGATTACTATATAAATTTACTATAGTGCGAATGTGGCGTTCGCCCAAGGTAAACTTTTTTTTATACTAAGTTAATCATCTTTCTTGCTTAAAAGACTTTTGTAAAGCTTGTCAAAACGCATCTAATGGTAGTTGGAACATCAAAATCAGCCTGGTGGGTGCTGAGATATCTTTAAAAAACCTCTCTTTTACTATGTAAATTGTAAACAATAGTATTGTTTGCAAAGAAATTTATATAGTAAAAGAGAGGTTTTTTAAAGATATCTCAGCACTCACCAAGCCGATTTTAATGTTCTAACTACCATTAGATGTGTTTTGACAAGCTTTACGAAAGTCTCTTAAGCAAGAAAGATGATTAACTTAGTATAAAAAAAGTTTACTTTGGGCAATCGCCATATTCACACTATAGTAAATTTATATAGTAATCTGAGTCATATTTTACTATAATCATTTTTCAGGTGACTGGTAGATCATCAATTAAAGAAATTTTATATATGAAAAAAGAAGTTTTTCAAAATTTTTCAAAAACTACCAGGCCAATTTTAATATCTTTCTAGTATTAAATACATTTTGATGAGCTTTACAGCTTTTGTTAGAAGCCAAGAAGTAATTTACTTAGTATAAAAAAAGTTTTAGATAGAAATGCTATACATTCACATTTATAGTAAAATTTATATATAAAAAAAAATTTTTATTCAGATGACTAGTGGATCGCCTATTAAAAACTAAAGAGCTTATATAAAATACTAAAAATAGTAATGATTTCAACTAATAGCTTACAAACCTTTATCTTTTAAACTATCAAAATAAACACTTATATATAAGCACTTAAATTTAAAATAGTAGTTTATGATCTAATTTTATAAATATTCAGAATATTTAAAAAAAATTTTACACAATAATATTTGAAAATAAGAATTACAAAATAGTAATTTTTATTTTTAATTTATAAATAAAAAAAATAAAGTTATCTATATACTGAAAATATCAAAAATTTAAAAGATTTTTTTTTAAAAAAAAATTTATCTTTACTCTTAGACAAACTTTTTAAAATTTTAAGCTTACCCCCTTATAATCTTAGAATAAAATTATAAAATTAGTTTTTAAAAATAACTTTAATTACAAACTTTTTTTAAATTTTTTAAGTAAAATTTTGACTTTAATTAGAAGTAAAAAAGCTTTTTTGAAGTTATTTATATATAAAGATTTAAAAATTTTTAAAAATTTTTATAATAAAAATTCAGAATTAACAATATTTAAAATTAATTATTTTTAATATGAGTGTTAGTTTATAGCGACCTGTCACCATAGTGACTCCATGATCAACCAATCAAAATTGATCATATGTATTTTTATTTTTTTATTCCAAAGTCCGATCTAATAGTAATCAACTAATCAAATTTAATAATATAAAAAATAATAAATTTTTTATATTTAAAGTTTTATATAAAAAATAAAGAAATTGATACAAATTTATTAAAAAAACTACTTCCAAACCCAACACCAAACCTGGAAAAAAAAATACCAAAGAACTTTGGCATTTTGGTGAAGAATTTTATTGTGAACCAAAAGAAGTACTACAAGACAATTCACCAATAAAGTATCGAAGGCCTAGAAAAAATACTATATAACAATTCATCAAAAATGCCAAAAGACCAAAAGTACCAAAAACAATTCATCAGCAAAATTGAAGAGCAAAAGAAACACACAGGACAATTTACCAGAAACACCAAAGGATTAGAAGTACCAAAGACAATTCACTAGCAAAATACTGAAGAGCAAAAGAAACAACACAAGACAATTTATCAGAAATATCAAAAAACTAGAAGAGGTACCAAAGACAATTTACCAAAAACGCTAAAGAGCAAATGAAATATCACAAGACAATTTACCAGAAACTTCGAAGGACCAGAAGAAGTACCAAAAACAATTTACCAGCTAAATGCCAAAGAGCAAAAGAAACATCACAAGACAATTTACTAACAAAACCCGAAGAACAAAAGAGGTACCAAAGACAATTTATCAGCAAACTGCCGAAGAGCATAAAAGACAATTTACCAGAAATGCTGAAGAACCAGAAGAAGTACTAAAGACAATTTATCAGAAACGCCGAAGAATCAAAAGAAGCACCAAAGACAATTCACTAGCAAAATGCTAAAGAGCAAAAGAAACATTATGAGACAATTCACCGGTAAACTGCTAAAGAACAAAAGAGATATCACAAGACAATTTATCAGTAAAACACTGAAGATCAGAAAAAATACCACCAGAGAAATTCTAAAAAAGAAAAAAAAGGGTAGTATAAAACTACCCAAAGAAATACCAAAAACAATTTACTAGCAAAATGCCAAAGAACAAAAAAAAACACCACAAGACAATTCACCAAAAATACTGAAGAACTAGAAGAAGTACCAAAGACAACTTACTAGCAAAACACCGAAAAGTAAAAGAAACACTACAAGACAATTCACCGGTAAGAACCAGAAGAAGTACCAAAAACAATTTACCAGCAAAACACCGAAGAACAAAAGAGATACCACAAGGCAATTTACTGATAAAATACCAAAGAATTAGAAAAAATACTACCAGAGAAATTTTTTTTAAAAAAAAAAAAGTAGTATAAAACTACCCAAAGAAGTACCAAAGACAATTCACTAGCAAAATGCCAAAGAGCAAAAGAAACACCACAAGACAATTCACCAGAAGTACAAAGAACCAGAAGAAGTACCAAAGACAACTCACCAGCAAAACACTAAAGAGCAAAAAAAATACCACAAGACAATTCACTGGTAAGAACTAGAAGAAGTACCAAAGACAATTTACTAGCAAAATGCCAAAGAACAAAAGAGATACTACAAGGCAATTCACCAGTAAAATGCCAAAGGATCAGAAAAAATACCACCAGAGAAATTCCAAAAAAGAAAAAAAAAGGATAGTATAAAACTACCCAAAGAAGTATCAAAGACAATTCATTAGCAAAACACTGAAGAGAAAAAGAAACACCACAAGACAATTCACCAGAAATGCCAAAGAACCAGAAGAAGTACCAAAGACAACTCACCAGCAAAACACTAAAAAGCAAAAGAAACACTACAAGACAATTCACCAGTAAGAACCAGAAGAAGTACCAAAGACAATTCACCAGCAAAATGCTGAAGAACAAAAAAGATATCACAAGACAATTTACTGGTAAAACACCAAAAGATCAGAAAAAATACTATTAGAGAAATTCTAAAAAAAAAAAAAAAAGAGTAGTATAAAACTACCCAAAGAAATACCAAAGACAATTTACTAGCAAAGCGCTAAAGAACAAAAAAAAACACCACAAGACAATTCACCAGAAATGCCGAAGAACTAGAAGAAGTACCAAAGACAACTCACTAGCAAAATACCAAAAAGCAAAAAAAATACAAAACAATTCACCAGTAAGAACCAGAAGAAGTACCAAAAACAATTCACCAGCAAAATGCTGAAGAACAAAAGAGATACCACAAGGCAATTTACTGGTAAAACGCTGAAGGATCAGAAAAAATACCACCAGAGAAATTCTAAAAAAGAAAAAAAGGGTAGTATAAAACTACCTAAAGAAGTACCAAAAACAACTTACCAGCAAAATGCCAAAAAGCAAAAAAAACACCACAAGACAATTCACCAAAAATGCCAAAGAACCAGAAGAAGTGCCAAAGACAATTTACTAGCAAAATGCCAAAGAGCAAAAGAAACATCACAAGACAATTCACCAGTAAGAACCAGAATAAATACCAAAGACAATTTACCAGCAAACTGCCAAAGAACTAAAGAGATACTACAAGACAATTCACCAGTAAAATGCTGAAAGATTGAAAAAAATACCACCAGAAAAATTCTAAAAAAGAAAAAAAAGGTAGTATAAAACTACCCAAAAAAGTACCAAAGACAATTCACCAGCAAAATGCCAAAGAGCAAAAGAAACACCACAAGACAATTCACCAAAAATGCCAAAGAACTAGAAGAAGTACCAAAGACAACTCATCAGAAAACACCAAAGAGCAAAAGAAACACTACAAGCAATTTACCAGTAAACTGCCGAAAAACCAGAAGAAGTATCAAAGACAATTTATTAGCAAACGGCCAATGAACTAAAGAGATACCACAAGTCAATTCACTAGTAAAACGCTAAAGGATCAAAAAAAATACCACTGGAGAAATTCTAAAAAGAAAAAAAAAGGTAGTATAAAACTACCCAAAGAAGTACCAAAGGCAATTCACCAGCAAAATACCAAAGAACAAAAGAAATACCACAAGACAATTCATCAGAAATGCCAAAGAATCAGAAGAAGTACCAAAGACAACTCACTAGCAAAATACCAAAAAGCAAAAGAAACATCACAAGCAATTCACCAGTAAACCACCAAAGGATCAGCAATGCCAAAGACCAGAAAAATATCGCAAGACATTTTATTAAAGCTAGAACTACTAAAAAAAAAAGCTTTAAACTAAAAAAAAACGAAACATTTAAAATATAAAAAAAAAATGTACATATGTATATATGTACGTACAAATACACATATATATGTATATACATACATAGATATAAAAAATAAATTACTGAAAAAAAAACAGATTAAAGATCAAAAAGCTGACCTGGTAAAATGATGTATTCTTACATGATTGACCAATCTTCAATGTGATTGGTTGATCATATAGAGTCGCCATAGCAATGGGTCGCTAATTATAATTTTTTTTTTAATATTATTAAAGTTATACTAAAAGTTTTATATATTATTAATTAATTATATATTATATTTTAATTTAAGCTTAGAAATAGGGTGTCAATCTTAATAAAATTTTAAATAATTTTAAAAAATTATATTAAAAAAAGTTTAAACACTTATATATGAATATTTGATGGTTTAAGGAATAGTAAAAATAATAGATTTTATAATAAAACTTATAATAAAAATTTAAATATAACAAATTTTAAATATTTTTTATATAATTAAAGTAAAATTTATTAATAAATTTATTAGAATAATTATTTGTAGTACAAAATTTGCTAAAATTGCAATTTAAAAAAATTATTTCTCAACAATTTTATTAATAATATTAAAACAAATTAATTTCTATAATACTATATAGCATTTATCAGATTTTTTGATATAAAAAGTTTTTAAAAAATATTTTTTTAGATTTTTAAAGCATTTAATAAATATACTACTGATAGTACAAAAGCTTAAATCCTATTCATTAATACTAAAAATCACTGCTATACTATCTGAATATATACAAATATTGCTATTTGTTAAAATAGTAACCAAATTTCAATAAGCTCAGGCTTTGTTAATAATAGCCAATCTTTCAAGTTTATACAATCCTCTTATATTACTAGTTTATATTCTTTATCTACTTATACTCAACTACTACTCATATAGCATCTATCCCCTTCATAAATTAATAAGCCATCTGTGTATATTTAGAAACTATTTTTATTACTATTAATATTCCAATCTAAACTATTTGTTAAATTGTTCACTAAATTTATATCAAAATTCTAATCTATTATTAGCTAATTATCTAATAATTTTATACTTTGTAAACTACAAAATAACCTTTTTTTTTACTAAGTTTGAATATGTTGTGCCTGCTAGCTTTGCAAAGTAGAATATCTTTATACTTTAGAATATGCTTTTAATTATTCTTTATTAATAGCTTTAAAATTACTATAAGCACTTTGCTTTGACTAAACCAACTATATTTGCTATTTTGCTCTAATACTGATAAATTATTAGCTTTTTTTATTTCAACATAATCTGATAATAAAATATTTTCTTTAGTTAACTAGTGTTTAGTAAGAATTTTGTATTTATTATTTTCTTTGTCTATTAATACCTATTTTTTTTTCTCTTGTCTGTTAAAATTGATATAAATAGCATTAAAGATGCAAAAATATTAAAACCTAATATCTGATAAATCTCTTTAATTTCTCTATTTTCTGAAATTTATAGCAAAATATCTTTTATAAATGAGAACCACTTGGCTTTTTTTCGCACTTTAATTTTGTTTTTTACTACTTTAAGCTACTACCAAATTAGAAGTCTTTTTCCCTTTTTATTTAAAAGTTGGTTCTGAAAATGATATCTAGGTTAGATATACTTTTGGATAACTTTACAAAAAGAGATATATCTATGAATTCTCTAATCTGAAGTCTGGTTTTTGAAAATACCAATATTCAAATATAGGTCTAATATTTATATTAAAGCTTTTTGCTTTATATATAGTTACATTGTGTTATTTTTCTAAATTGAGTTTAAATAAGGTTTTTAGGTTCAGTTTAGTTCAGGTTTAGATTCAATAAACTTAAACCTGAACTACAAATTTTGCAGGTCTTTGAACCTGAACCTGAACTAAACTTTGAATTTATAAACCTAAACTAAACCTGAGTTTAAAGTTTTGGTTTAGTTCAAGTTTAGTTCAAGATTTATAAACATGTTTAGATTCAGTAGTGAGATATAAGTATTTTAATTTTTGCAACTACTGTATATATTTCTTCTTTATACAAATAAAAAAGAGATTTTTTAAAATTTGAATAAAGATATCTCAACTATTCTCTAAGCAAATTTGATAAACTTTTTTTTATTCAAATTCTACTAATCTGTAGAATTCAATAAAAATTTTTTTTAACAAATTTGGTCATATAGATGTCAAGATATTTTCAATTTAAGTTTTAGAATTTTTTAAATCACCTATTATATAGAAACTGCTCTAAAATTTTTAACACAGATATCTCAGTACTTACTTAACCAAATTCAATAAAAATTTTTTTATTTGAATTCTATAAATCTTTAGAATTCAAATAAAAAAATTTCATTAAAATTGGTCAAGTGGGTGCTAAGATGTCTTTGAGATTTTTATAATGCCTATATATAGAAACTATGCCAAAATTTTTTAATACTTTGATTAAAAATATCTTAGCATTTACTTGATCAAATTCTATAATTTTTTTTTTTGAATTCTACAGACCTGTAAATTTAAATAAAATTTTTTTATTGAACTTGGTCAAGTAGGTACTGAGATATCTTGGATCAAAATTTGAAAATTTATATTATATAAAAAATAAATATTAAGCGATATGATTATATATTGCCAGCCAATCATAATTTATAGTTTGATTTTTTTATTTATTTTTATTTAACTTTTTTTTCACTTTAGTTGTCATTCTTGGAAATCATTATTGAAGCTGTCGTTGGAGCTGTTGCTGAAGTTGTTATAGTGCCTTGTTAGATATGCTATTTGTAAAAGTCTTTAGAATTTTATATTAAAGTTACATTGGTGTCTTTTTTTAAAAATTTTGTTGGTAGTTTTTATTGATATTGTTATCTTTTTTTTTACTTTAGCTGGAAGTTATCATTGAAGCCATCATTGGAGCTATTGCTAAAGTTATTATAGTATTTTTTTAAACATGCTATTCACAGGAATCTTCATAGAGTCATTAAAATTTTGCTAGAGGTATTATTAAAATCACGGTAGTGTCTTTTTTTAGAAATTTTATATTGGCAGTTGTCATTAGAATTGTTGTTACTTCTTTTTTTTGCTTTAGTTGGAAGTCATTGTTGGAGCGTTGAAATCATTGGAATTGTTGTTATCTCTTTTTTTGTTTTAGTTTAAAGTCATTGTTAGAGCCGTCATTAGAGTCATTATTAAAACTATTCATAGGAATCTTTATAGAGTCGTTGGAATTTTGCCAGAGATGTTGTTAAAATTGCAGTAGTGTTTTTTTTTTTAAACTTTTTTGTTGGTAATTGTTGTTAGAATTGTTGTTATTTCTTTTTTCGCTTTAGTTAAAAGTCATCGTTAGAGCATTAAAATTATTAGAATTGTCATTATTTCTTTTTTTGCTTTAGCTAGAAGCTATTATTGGAGCTGTCATTAGAGTCATTATTAGAACCGTTCATATGAATCTTTGTAAAGTTAGTGAAATTTTGCCAGAAGCATCATTAAAATCACAGTAGTGTTTTTTTTAAAAACTTTTTTGTTGATACCATACCGTTCCGAAATTAAGCACATCTTTTTTGTTATAAGCAGTGCTTAATTTCAGGTAATTTTTTTTTTTATATGTGATAAGCTTTATGATATGATGTAATTTATATTTTATATAAATAAATATAAAAAGCAAATCAAAATAGGAAATAATTCCAATTTTTATATTATTATTATTATGTCGACACAAACTAAATCCAAAAATAAAGTTATACAAAAAAAAAAAATTACCAAAAAAACTACTAAATGTAAATGTAATTCATATTCAATTGAACAAAAGAAACAAGTTGTTGCCTATGCTAAAATAAATAGAAGAAATAAAGCTGCGGCAGCTTTCAAGTTTGACCACAGTATGGTTGGTTGTTGGATCAAAGCAAGTAAATCATGGGTAATTAACATAAAACAAAGCACTAAGCGAGTTGGCTCTGGCAGAAAAGAATTTTATCTGGAAGCTGAGAAAAAACTATACAATTGGATTATAGAACAGAGAAAACAAAGATTGGGTGTTTCTTATAAAATTGCACATATTAAAATGAGCGATCTTTTAAAGGAGCCTGATATGATGATTCTTTATAGTGATTCAATAAAAAATTTCAAATTGTCAAATCATTGGATGTTTGCATTCATGAAAAAATATGAGCTATCTTGGCGATGACATACTAAGGTTTCACAATAACTCCTGTCACAAACTGACAAATTTCTAGAGAAATTTAACCAATTTATTATTTGTCTTAAAAACAAGAAATTCTTTGAATTATTTAACATTCTTAATATGGATGAAACTCCCGTCTGGTTCAATATGATTGGAAATTTTACTATTGATCAAAGAGGTAAAAAACGATTCATATTTATGGAACTAACAATGACAAAAATCAGTTTACTGTAGTTTTAACATGTGCTGCAGGTAAATTATTTTTTGAAAGTTGTAGTTTGAACTTCAATTATTAATTTGTTATTTTTTATATACATACTGTAGATGAAACAAAGCTTCCTCCGATTTGCATTTTCAAAGGAAAATGATTACCTCGTGGCGAAAAAATACTATCTGGTATTATTACTTGGTTTCAAGATAACAGATGGATGGATACTAATCTAATGATACAATATGTTGACTATATAAATAATACAAGAGTTAGTAATGAAGTTCCAACGATGATGGTATATGACTCTTTTAGAGGACATTTGGATAATTCTGTCAAAAATAAATTCCAGGATAGTGGTATTGACTTAGCAGTTATTCCAGCAGGCTTAACCAGTATTTGTCAACCACTTGATGTTGCTATTAATAAACCATTAAAAGACAACCTTTGCAAAGAATGGCATCTTTGGATAGCAAAGAGTGGTGCTGGGAAAACTGTAGCTAGAAACCTTCGACGAGCTAGGATAAGCGATATATGTGGATGGGTAAAACGTTCATGGAAACAAATTCTAAATGATGTAATTATTCAATCTTTCATAAAGTGTAGTATCTCAAATAACTTAAACCAGAATACTAATACTGATAGCGATTAGTTAAGTTCAAAGAGTAAAATCATAGATCTTTGCAATGACATTGAAATTATAGATCTTAGCGAGGATGTTGAAATAGAAGACATTAACAATGATGATGAATTAATAGATATTAACGATGATGATAAATTAATAGATATTAATGATGATGATAAATTAATAGATATTAATGATAATGATGAATTAATAGATATCAGTAATACTGAAATTATGGACATTAGTGACATTGAAATGATGGATATTGGCGATTATAGATATTAACGATGATTAGCTTTATTTATTGAGTCCAGAATTAAATAATTTATTGAATAATTAATTATTGTATAATTTAAATAATTGAAATTGAGTAATTGTATAATTAAATAATTGAAATTGAATAATTGTATAATTAAATAATCGAAATTGAATAATTAATTTTAAGTTTTCCGTATAAAAAAATAAATATGTAACAATTAAGTCTTAATACAAAATCAGAAAGCAAAACTAATATAAAACAAAGGGGTGCTTATTTTTGAGTATTATATAAAATTTTATAGTGCTTAATTTTGGGGGATGCTTAATTTCGAAACGGTATAGTAGTTGTTGTTAGAATTGTTATTACTTCTTTTTTTGTTTTAGTTAGAAGTTATCTTGAAGTATTAAAATTGTTAGAATTGTTATTACCTTTTTTTTGCTTTAGCTAAAAGTCATTATTGGAGCTGTTGTTGGAGTCATCATTGGAACCATTTACAGAAATCTTTGTAGAGTCATTAGAATTTTGCCAGAGGTATTATTAAAATTGCGGTAGTGTTTTTTTTTAGAACTTTTTTGTTGGTAATTGTCGTTAAAATTGTTATTACTTCTTTTTTTTGCTTTAGTTAGAAGTTTTTGTTGGAGTGTTAAAATAGTTAGAATTGTTATTACCTCTTTTTTTGCTTTAGCTAGAAGTCATCATTAGAGTCATCATTAAAACTATTCACAAGAATCTTTGTAGAGTTGTTGAAATTTTTCCAGAGGTATCGTTAAAATAGCGTTAGTGTCTTTTTTTAGAACTTTTTTGTTGGTAGTTTCATTGGTATCATTAGAATTGTTATTATTTCTTTTTTTCGTTTTAGTTAGAAGTTGTTATTGGAGTATTGAAATTGTTAGAATTGTCGTTACCTCTTTTTTTGCTTTAGCTGGAAGTTGTCATTGAAGTCATTATTAGAACCATTCACAGGAATCTTTGTAGAGTCATTGGAATTTTGCCAAAGGTATTATTAAAATCATATTAGTATCTTTTTTTAAAACTTTTTTGTTGGTGGGTTTATTGGCATTGTTAGAATTGTTGTTACTTTTTTTTTTACTTTAGCAAGAAGTCATTATTGGAGTGTTTAGTGTCTTGTTAGACTTGGCGTTCGTAGAAATCTTCGTAGAAGTTGTCATTGGAGTTTTGTTAAAAGTGCTATTAGAATTATGTTAGTGTCTTCTCTGAAGTTTTTGCAAATATTGTTAGAATAATTTTTGGATTTTGAAAATTTTGTTGGAAGTGTTATAGTGTTGTAATAAATTGTATTTTTGTGCTTGTATTGTAGTTATTAGTTGATTTGTCTTCTTTTTTCTATATGATTATTACATGTTTTTTTTTTACTTTTTTTTTTAATTAAAAATTTTATAATTTTTTAACTAATAAACTTGTTGTATGTAGCCCATGAGATATAAGCATATCACAGAGATGTGAGATTTAGATTTACTCTTTTATTTGAATTCTACAGATCTGTAGAATTTGATTAAAAAAATTTCATGGAATTTAGTCAAGTAGGTACCAGAATATTATTGATTAAATTTTTTAAAATGTCTATTAGATGGAAACTGCATCAAAATTTTAACTACTCAATAAAATTTTTTATTCAAATTCTACAAATCTGTAGAATTTGAATAAAAAAATTTACATTGAATTAATCAGGTAATTGCCAAGATATTTTTGATCAAAGTTTGAAAACTTTTAAAATGTTTAATATAGAAACTACCAAAATTTTTAATATGCCTTTGATCAAAAATATCTTAATCAAATTCGATGAATTCAAATAATGAGATATTTTAAATAGAAGTGTGGATTATTTTGGATTATTTTTAACAGTGAATTTCTATGTTCGTTTAGCAGGTATTTGATTTAAAATTTTTGCCAACTTAAATACATAGTATTAACCAATCATATCATATCAGTTGTGTAACTATATTGGATCCAGATCCAATCTTTTTGATTCTAATCGGATCTTAGCTTGGATCTAATCCAGTTTTTCGGATCAGATCTGAATTTTTAAAAATATCTGTCTGATTCGATCTATGCGGAACACTAAGCTGTAGTTATTATAGCTATTATTATAATTCCTGAAAAATTAGCTGAATGATTTTTCAGCTGATTTGATTAAGTAAGTAATCTCGATTCTATAAATTGATACAATATGTATGTGTGCATGTATGTAATTTACAGCTATTTTTATAATTTTTAAAACACCTAATAAAAATTGGCTGAATGAATTTTCAGCTGATTCGATTAAGTTTATAATTTCAGCATAATCTATATAATAAAAACTATTTCTGTATATCAAAAGAAGTTTCTGTATATAAATAAAATATTACTCTTATTTGTATACAAAGTTGGTTCAAGACTAATTTTATGTTTAACCAAAATTTTATCTTGGATTGTAATTTATAAAATATCAATTAAGTTTTTTCATTAAAGTTTTAAATATCTTGTATTGTTTATGTTTAGTAAATATGGTTCTTCTAAAAGTAATAGAAGCTTTTTAATATATTCCTATCTTTGAAAATACTTGAGAACTTGACTTATAAAAAATATATCAACATCTAAGTGTTTGGTCTTTTTTTTTAATTATTTTCAGTAAAGATGCTTTAAATATATTCAACCAAAGATATAATATTTATATTTTAAATTATATATATATATATATCAATTTTATTATATGAGTAAAAATTTTTAATATAATGCTATGATTATTAAAATTCAAATTATTGTTTTTTGGTTACTTTACTCATAAACAACTAATAAATAATTTTAAAATCACTTGCAAATAATCATATAATTTCATCAATTTACAAAAATTAAAAATTTTCACCTATATGTTGAATCTATTATGTTAAAATCACAAATTTAATCAAATTGGCTAAAAAATTATTTGGCCAATTTTATTAGGTGTTTTAGGAATTATGAAAATAGCTATAAATTACATATGTATGCACATATGTATCATGTTAATTTATAGAATCTATTATGCCAAGATCACTTAATTAAATCAGCTGAAAAATCATATAGCTAATTTTTATCAGGTATTTTAGAAATTGTAATAATAGCTATAAGGTTTTTTCAAAAAACTGATTTCAGAAAAAATATAATACTGACAAAGTTAGATGGTATTAGTTATATACTAGTTAATTTAGTCAGTATTATATTCTTTCAGAAAAATTGATTTAGAATTTTATAGTAAAATTAATAAATAAATATTAATCTTGTATCCTGTGATATAATTATATATTACTAGCCAATTATAATTTATGGTTTAATTTTTTATTTATTTTTATTTAGAATATTTCTAATTTATACTACAGGTGATTATTACTTGTAGTCAATTTACCAATTAAAATTCAGGATCAGATGTAACATATAAATCAATTTTGTGTAACAAAAACAATGAATTTTTTAAAAAACTACTTATATGTTAAAATTTTGTCTATGAAACCACCTTTTAAGCTCTAATAAAAAAAATTTCTTGCTAAATTTTACTATATAAAAAGCTTTACCCTAACCACTAACTCTAATCACTAATTCTTATCCTTACTCTAATCCTAAAGAAATTAATTTTGTTTTGTTAAAAATTAATTGTTTTTGTTTATATTGTAGATCACAGGTGATAATCACTTGTGGTGAACATTAGTTAATTTCTTTTATTTAATTTTTTTTTCACTTTAGTTGTTATTTTTAGAAATTATTATTAAAGCTGTTATTGAAGCCATTGCTAAAGTTGTTATTATGCCTTGTTAGATATGCTATTTGTAGAAGTTATCGGAATTTCACATTAAAGTTATATTGGAGTCTTTTTTTAAAAATTTTGTTGGTAGTTTTCGTTGATGTTGTTATCTCTTTTTTTTATTTTAGCTAGAAGTCATTATTGAAGCCATCATTGAAGCTATTGCAGAAGTTATTATAGCATCTTTTTAGACATGCTGTTCGCAGGAATCTTCATAGAGTTGTTAGGATTTTGCTAGAGATGTTGTTAAAATCACGGTAGTGTCTTTTTTTTAGAACTTTTTTGTTAGTAGTTGTCATTAGAATTGTTGTTACTTTTTTTTTTACTTTAGTTGGAAGTCATTGTTGAAGCATTGAAATTGTTAAAATTGTTATTTCTTTTTTTGCTTTAGCTAGAAGTCATTATTGGAGCTATTGTTGAAGTTGTTATTGGAACTATTTGTAAGAATCTTTGTAGAGTTGTTGGAATTTTGCCAGAAGTGTCATTAAAATTGTATTAGTGTCTTTTTTTAGAACTTTTTTGTTGGTAGTTTCATTGGATTATTAGAATTGTTGTTATTTATTTTTTTTTTTGCTTTAGCTAAAAGTTGTTGTTAAAGTATTTAGTGCCTTGTTAGACTTGGTGTTCATAGAAATTTTTGTAGGAGTTGTCATTGGAGTTTTGTTAAAAGCACTATTAGAATCATGTTAGTGTCTTCTCTGGAGTTTTCACGAATATTGTTAAAATAATTTTTAGATTTTAAAAATTTTGTTAAAAGTGTTATAACATTGTAATAGAATGCAGTTTTGTGCTTGTATTGTAGTTATTAGTTGATTTGTCTTCTTTTTTCTGTGTTTATTATATGTTTTTTTTTAATTAAAAAATCTTAGAATTTTTTAACTAATAAACTTGTTGTATGTAGCTTATGAGATATAAATATATTATGGAGGTGCAAAATTTAGATTTATTTAAAATTAATTATATATTAATAAATAGTTTCTACCTATTCACTAATTTTGATTGCAAGTTATTCTTTTACAACTTTTCTTAGAAATTAAAAAAGTTATATAGTAAAGAAAAGGTTTTTTTAAAAAAAACTCTAAATTCAAAAATTCAAAGTCAAGAAAAAATATTTAGTAAATATATCTTTACTGTTTACTATATTTTGTTAATGAATCTAAATTGAATATGAACTTGATTTAAAAGTTCAATATTAAACCTGAACTAAACATAAACTTGATTTAAAAGTTTAATATTAAATCTAAACTAAATATAAACTTAACTTAAAAGTTCAATATTGAACATAACTGAACTGAATCTGAATCTGAACTTGATCAAAGTTCAGTTCAGTTCAAGTACATAGAAACACTAGTTTGAAATACTAAATAAAAATGCTCAAAATCCCAAAAATCTTATATTAACTAAAATTTAAACTTTTTATATAACTTTTATTTTACTCTATAACTGCATCTAACTCTAAATTTTAATAAAAAAAAACTTATTAATACTATAAGCACTACACTAACTTTTATAATTATTGTTCTATTACTTTTTTTTATTTTAGATTACGATTTTTTATGTTTTATAAATCATATAACTGGCAAATTTAGGTGATATAAACCCAATGTTTTAAATTTTAATCTGAACAAATTTGGTTAACACCTATTTTGTAGTTTTTAAAAAATCTCTGATTATATACTTTTTATATAGTGCAATAATTATAGCATATTAATGCTATGACACATTGATGCCAAAAATGTATAAATACTTGTCCAATTAATAATAGTAAGTATGCAGGCAAACTATTATAACAATAAGAGCAATTCCAATATTAAAAAGAAACTATATTTCTACTCTTCTTGAAAAAGGTTACTCCAGCTATACTATTGCTTTTCATAAAAAAGTAAACCATAGTACAGTCTTAAGAATAAAAAATTTAAAGAAGCAAACTGGTTGTTTGGATGTTTTACCAAAGCCAGGCTGCCTCAGAATACTTACCACCTGCCACAAAAAAAGAAATTTAAATCAGATACATGCTCGACTGCTATCTAAGCCCAAAAAAAACTAACATCTGATGAAGGTGTTTATGTTTCCATAAATACAATCTGCTATACACTATAGAGACAAGGTCTCGAATCTTGGGTAAAGAAAAAAACCTCTACTTCTACCAAAGACCAAAAATTGTGAAGAGACCTCGCAAGAAAATATTATAATTAGACCATCGAAGATTGGCAAAGAATCATTTTTTCAAACAAATCAAAGTTCAAGATTTTTGATTTGAATGGTGTTGAAAAGACCCAAATTTACTATTGTTACCCAATATGTAAAGCTAATAGTGAAATATGATGGCAGGTTTGTAATAGTATAAAGCTGTATGGGTGTGTAAGATGTTGGAAACTATTGTAAGATCAAGAGAAATATAAATAAAAAGCTATATCATAAAATTCTTAAAGATGAATTAATTGGAACAATGCAAGTATGACATTTGACAAACAATAACTTTGTCTTTCAATATGATAATGATCTGAAATATACATTGAATATAGTTACTGACTGGTTAAATAAAAAAGAAATTGATGTTTTGACTTGGCCACCATACTCTCCAATTTAAATCCTATAGAGTATTTATAGAATGAAGTTGATTATTATTTGCGACAACTTCCTGGTAATATTTCTAGTGAGATAGATTTGTGGAATAAAATTCAAAAAGTGTAAAATGAAATTGATGACAATTATGTTTTGAAGCTTATTAATATGATGCCACAATGAATTAAGAATATACTCAAAGCTAAAGGGAATATACTAAATAGTAAATTTTAGAAAAAAAATTTAATTTATTTAAAATAAATTTAAAAAAATTAATATAAAATTTTTTTTTGGTTTTGTGCCAAAAATATTGTTTTACAAAGATTGTAAAAATTTAAATTTTTTCAAAAAAAATAATAAATATTTTTGTGAAATTATAATATTTAATAGAGTTTATACTATTAAAATTTAATAACTATTTGCTTTATAAAACACAAAATATCATGCTCTAAAAATTTTAAACATGATAGAACAATAATTATAAGAGTTAATATATAGATGGATTATATATTAAACCATATAAACTTAATTTTTGGTTCTTATAACCTGGCCAGGTTATATTTTGAATTTTTTTTAAAAAAAATTTTTTATATGTTTTAATAGGTGGGTGAGATTTCAAAAAAAAATTTTAAAAAATTTTATAAAATTTAAAATTTTTTATATATAAAATTTTTAAATAAAAGTCTAGACAGGTAGGTTATTTTTTTTGTCCCATGTTATAAGAACCAAAAAATTAACTTTTATGGCCTTATATGTATTCTAAAATTAAAATTTTTAATTTTATTGTCTATTTTTTTCTTTGCTATGGGGTTCTATATATATGTATAATTTTAAAACTTAATATATTTTTTACTAGTAGCTATACAAGTTTAAATACACTTTTTTTAAAAATTTATATATTTAAAAATAATATTATTTAAAATGTCATTTTGAAAATAACTAATCTTAACTCAATGAAAAATTCTCCCTTCTAATTATTTTTAGAGTTAGGATTAGAAATTAGAGAATTTTTTTTTTTTATATGATATAATATAGAGCTAATATAAAGTCTCAATTTTAGTTTTTATAAGGTTTTCAGAAGTTCTAAACATTTTTACTTAGAGTATCTAATCCCTATTTACTTAGTATATTTTTGAGATACAGAGGAGAAAATTTTCTTAAAGATAAATTAGCAATACTCTATTATTTTATATTATTATATATATATATATATACTGTATATACATATTTTGTCCAAATTTTGATTTAATTTCTTAATATTAGTCTGAATTAATTATATATTTTACATATTACACATGCAATTGTCTATTTCTAGTTCTAACATACTTTTTTACTACTGTTGTTTTGACTATTTTTTAACTTTAACATAACCCAGTATTCTTAATAGAATTGAGATCTAATGCATCAAAAAAAAAAAATTCGTTAGATCGAATTTTCTCGCGCAATTCCGCGTGTATCCTTTTACTTTTTTTTT